TGCAGGGCTGCAGAGCTGCAGAGCTGCAGAGCTGCAGAGCTGCAAGTCTCTTTCTACAGAGAATGTTTCTCCTTTCTAGACTCTGTTAGTCAGGGTCATTAAAGGTCATTCTGTCTCTTAAGGTCAAAGGTGCTTCATAAATAAAAACAAAAAATAAAATAAAGTGTTAAGAGTTTCCCTAAATGCCACCTGGCGTGTTTGTGCACAGTTAGCTTCATGAAGCTAAGGTTCTGGTCTTGAATCTGTTTCCGTGTCAGAGTGTTTGTGCCGGAACGAGGAGGAGCGTCTGATCAACCACCTGTTCCTGGAGAAAGGATACAACAAGGAGCTGCGACCCGTGAAGAAGCAGCAGGAGGTCGTGGACGTTTACCTGGCGCTGACGCTCTCCAACCTCATCTCTCTGGTAGGAAACCGGCCAGTTCCTGGAAAAACATGTTCACCTGAAATTAAGGCTGGAACGATTAATCCAGATCAAACAATTACTGAAATAATCAACTAATTCAGATTTGGTTAACTGGAATATGCAGACTTTACAAATGACTAAGAAAATAACATCCTCAGAGCAGCAATAAAGCCAAAGCTGCACACATGCATTTTGCGTTTTAAAATTAAAGCAGCTTTGTCTGTAGAAGGTTTTACCCCAAATCCCCCAAGTAGCAGATTTATCTTCTCCTGCTCAGATTCAAACTCATTTTCATTTTGGGCCATAAAAACGTCATGAATATCTTCATGGACCGATTGGATGTGATGAGAAAACCATTAACAAACTGTTCACCCATCAATAAATAGCTAAAAACACATATCAGGATTTAGAAATTGTTTTGTGATTTTTTTGCATTCAAAATCACAGATTTAAAAATATTTGCTACTTTTTACAATATTTGTGCTGATGTATGAATATAACTTCTTGTAACTCGGTGTATTGATCACTGCTGATATGAGGCTGAGGCAGCAGTGTGGTAAGGTAAGAAACACCGCCACCTGCAGGCAGGAGTTAGCAGTCACTTAAACCCAAAGTTTTTGACCATTTTGCAGAAAATTTGCAAAAAACTCCAAGTCATGAATTAAAGTGAAACAGAGCAGAGATCTGTTGATTTTGGATGAATTTTTGCAAACATGGAATCACAAAAAATGAGAGGCTGAGTCCAGAATAAAAGCTGCTGAGGGCCAGATTTGGCCCCCGGACCTTGAGTTTGACACGTAATGGCACTAAAGGAGTTCTGTTATTGCAGAAAGAAATTCAATTATTTGTTTATTTGAATCTTCTGATGCATCTTAAATATTCGATAAAAAAGTTGAAGCTGTTAAAAAAATCTGTAAAACATGCAGAATTTTTATCTGATTAATCAATCAATAATCATAATAATCAATTACTAAAATAACCGTTAGTTGCAGCCCTATCTGAAAAGTGTGGCATGCAACTGTTCTCTCCGTCCTGCAGCTGCAGCATGATGCTGCCACTACCGTGTTTCTGACATGATGTAACTTTTATCTTTTCTTCTGTAGAAAGAAGTAGACGAGACGCTGCTGACAAACGTGTGGATCGATCACGTACGTTAGAACGTTTTTTATTTTTAATCAAACCAAGCCTCCGGTCTGATCTGCGTTTCTGTGACGCAGGCATGGACCGACTACCGGCTGTCGTGGAACGCCAGCGAGTTCGACGGCATCGAGATGCTGCGCCTGCCGCCCAGCATGGTGTGGCTGCCAGAGATTGTCCTGGAAAACAAGTAAAACTATATTTTATACAAATCAGGGCAAATATTAAACAAAGTTTTGATGTTTTACATTCCTGTAAAATTGCTGGGTTTTCAGCAATGCACTCCTTGGGTTTCCACAGTTCAGAGTGATGTCAGCACGCGCAGGGCGGCCATTTTGTTTGACAAACTTGTTTTACTACAGAGTATTAGTTTGAACGTGGCAGAACTGCACACTCAAAGTATAGATGAATACCACTCTTGTCTAGTTTCTAGTTACTTGAAATTAGACAAGTAAAATTTTATTTTATTTTTCATTTTATCCTCTGAGGGTTAATTATTGGTATGTTCTGTTTCATAAATGCAAAAACTCATTGGATATATTGTTAAAAAAATAAATAGTACATATTTTTTAATAGCACATCTTGTGGGATATGAATAGTTTATGTGGTTGCAGTGATGTCATCGTGATGTCATCGCTCCCTGTGTTTAGTAACGACGCCCAGTTCCAGGTTGCCTACTACAGCAACGTCCTGGTGGACCAGTCGGGTCTCTGCTACTGGCTGCCTCCCGCCATCTTCCGCTCCTCCTGCTCCATCAACGTCAACTATTTCCCCTTCGACTGGCAGAACTGCACGCTCAAATTCAGGTAGGTGGCGATGAAACGGCGCCTCCTGCAGGTCAGGAGACGTAAACGCTCTGTGTGTTTCTGCAGCTCCCTGACCTACAACGCCAAAGAGATCAAGATGCTGCTGAAGGAAGACGGGAACGGAACTCACCAGCACACCGTGGAGTGGATCGTCATCGACCCGGCCAGCTTCACAGGCAACTTTTTATCCTTTCAACTGGAGCGTCCAAACTTTCTGCCATCGAGGCAAAAATTTAGATTCAATCGAAAATGCAGGGCAAAAACTCCCAACCTAAAATCAGGCAAATAAAGTAGCTCGATATTTATTATGGATCCAAAACTTGAAAGTGATTTTTATATATATATATTTTCATATATATATATAATTTGACACTTTTTGTAGAAAATGTATTACATACTACTGCTTTAATTCTGCATGTTGTATTAAAATCCATCCATTTTCTTTACTGTGTCAGGTCGCCCTGGACAGGTCGCCAGTCTGTTGCAGGGCAACACAGAGACAAACAGCCATGCATACACACACAGGGGCAACTTGGAGAGGCAAATTAACCTTTGGGAGAAAACCCACCATGCACAGGGAGAACATACAAACTCCATGCAGAAAGACCAGGGCCGGGAATCGAACCCAGAACCTTCTTGCTGCAAGGCAGTAGCTCTACCAACTGCACCACTGTGCATCTTCTTGTATTAAAATAAATATTTCTATTTTTAAGACATTTATTTCAGTTTAAGAACAGGATTTGCGTGACTTTGTTTCAAAACATTTGCATATTTAGCCAAGTTTCAGAAAGAATAAAAGCTGATTTGGTTACAACAAAGTCGGCTTTTCAGTAAAAGTTTCTGGATAAACTTGGTTTTACTTTTTGGTAAAACTTGGATATGAAAACATGAACATGTTGAGCGACAGAGGAAGGATCTGTGATAACGCTACTTAGTGCACTGAGGATGCAACAGTTTGTCTCTGAAGAAATTCACATTCTAGAACGCAAATTTCTTTGCTAACCATCTGAAAAACATGAATCTTATCTGACTCAATAACCAAAATATCTTCACATTTACATTCACAACTTTTTCTTTAAACCTCTGATATCAATTAAATTAGAAATATTCTGTCACAGAGAAAGGCAGACAAACTCATTATCAAAATGTAATTAAAATCTTAGATTTATTGAAAAACTGCAGCAGGAACTCAGATGGGAATCAAAATGGAGATTAGATTGAGAATAATCTGTAAATTAGGAGCTGATGATGTAAAGTTTGTGCCTGCAGAGAACGGCGAGTGGGAGATCATCCACCGGCCGGCCAAGAAAAACATCTACAAGCACATTCCCATGGAGAGCAACAAGCACCAGGACATCACCTTCTACCTGGTCATCAAACGCAAGCCGCTCTTCTACATCGTCAACATCATCATCCCCTGTGTGCTCATCTCCTTCCTGGCCTCGCTGGTCTACTACCTGCCTGCTGACAGTCAGTGCACAGCCGCTCCGCCTGACCCTCAGCTGCTTTACAAACTGTGAAGGTCACTCAGAGGTCACTCAGAGGTCACTCAGAGGTCACTTAGAGGTCACTTAGAGGTCACTCAGAGGTCACTCAGAGGTCACTCAGAGGTCACTCAGAGGTCACTCAGAGGTCACTTAGAGGTCACTTAGAGGAAAGACTCTCCTGCAAATCTGGAAGATTTACAGATCTGTTAATAATTAAATGAAACTTTATTCTGAAGGTCTGTATATGTGACTTCCTGTGAGGAACAGGAAGGAGTCTTCATGGATATTTATGACTGTTATGGAGTGTCATTCAATAAAACATGACATTTTAATGCAAAGCTGCGTTTAAAGCATCAACTTTGCCTAATTTGGTAAGTAATGACACTTTAATAGACTTTTAATGCAAGTTTTAAATTAAATGTGTTTATTTACTGAGTAAAGCAATGTTGATACTTTTTAAATGGAAGTTTTCATGTAATTTGCATTAAAATAAGATTATTTACAAAAGTTGACAGTTTTAATGGATTTTTACTTAACTTTTAATTCATTTTGCATTAAAATATTTTTATAACTGATACTTTTAATGCACATTTTAATACAACTTTGCAATTAAATGTCATTATTTACCACATAAAGCAAAGTTGACACTTTTTAAATTCACTTTGTATACAAATTTGCAGTAAATATCATTAATTAATTGATTTTAAGGCAACTTTCAACACAACTTTGCATTAAAATGTCATAATTTACTGAATGAAAACAGCTGTAAACATTCATAAAGTCTTCATGTTTATAACAAAACCCTGATTGTCTTAATTTAAACTCCTTCATAATAAAGTGTTAAAACTTGTCAAACTTGTAAACAGTTTTGGTTTCATGCTGCTGAACCCAGGTTTTTTTTTAAGTTTTGTGTTTAGATGAAGATGAAGTTTTGTGTGTTTTTCCTTTAGGTGGGGAGAAGATGACGTTGTCCATCTCCGTCCTTCTGGCTCAGTCTGTCTTCTTGCTGCTGATTTCCCAGCGGCTGCCCGAGACGTCCATGTCCGTCCCCCTCATAGTCAAGTAGGAAAAAACTATTTTATTTTTCAATATCTACAGGAACAAACACTTTAGAGTTCCTGATTGTCTTTAAATAACTTTTTAAAACATATTTTAACGTATTTTCAGTCCAGACTTCCTAAGCTTTCAGGGTGAACTGGAGTTTTTGTTGTAGGATAAAAATAATTTCAGTAAAAGTTGTAACAAAGATTAAGTTGGACTCAGCAGCATTAAATTCGCCTTTTTGGTTCTTATGCTGGTTTCACTTCTAAAACACAAAATTTTACCGAGTATTTGTGGTTTAGATTTTGGTGCAAATAAATGAGTAAAATTAACTTAAAAGTAACTTTTGAGCAAGATATAGAGGTTTGTTTTAAGTCAATAATTCTTTAATAATAATGATTAAATCCACTAGCAGATTATTTCACTTATGCACCAAAAATCTGGAAGAAACTGAAAAACAGCCGAAACACTGACCTCCTTTAAATCCAGGCTGAAATCCCACCTGGGCAGATTCACCTTATAAATGAAACATTAAGCAACATGATTGATAAGTATTGATGGTTTTGATCAATTATTATGTAACATCTGTTTCTGAAGTGAAGCTCTTTGAACTGCCTTGTTGTTGATTACAAAATATTTTCCATGTTATAAATGAAATAATTTACAAGTAGAACTAGAACTTTTGTTTTTCATCAATATTAAGGAAATATTAACTTAAACTCATAAATGTTTCTGAAAAGTTCATTTAGTTTTGTTTCATATCAAACGTGTTCAGATATTTGCAGTAGAAACTAGACAGACATTCATGGAAAGGCTGAATGTCTGATGGAGGTTTACTGATGTTCTTCCGTGTTTCAGGCTTTATTATGTTTTTCCTCAGATATTTGATGTTCATCATGGTTCTGGTGACCATCGTGGTGTTGAACTGTGTCGTCGTTCTCAACCTGCACTTCAGGACGCCCAGCACACACGTCATGTCTGAGTGGACCAAGAAGGTGCAGAGCAGAAAAATCACAACATTTAACGTTTTATGGCTCTCATTTCACACACACCTTTCACACACACTGACAGACAAACTGAAACTTTACACAGGACGGAAAGAAATAAAGGACAGAGAAGTTAAAGTTCATCAGAGGAAAGTAGTAGGAGAACAAATTGAGGACAAATGGTCAGAAAACTGAAAAACTAAATCAATCAAGTTCATTTGATTAATATTGATGAAAAGACAAAACTCCTATTTCCACTGGTTGATTATTTAACGTATAAAATGGGAGAATATCTTGTTATCTATCAGTTTATTTGTGTTGCACATTTAAGCAATAAGGCCTTTTTTGAAAAACACTAAAATAAAACGTCATAAAAACATCATAGAGTCAGAAACAAACTTTATATTTTGATGATTGTTGTCATTAAAATCATCAGTAAATGTTGGTTAATGTTCATTTATTACGGTTCTAAGGTGAATTTGCCCAGGTGGGTTTTCAGCCTTGATTTAAAGGAGGTCAGTGTTTCGACTGTTTTTCAGTTTTCTGGAAGTTTGTTCCAGATTTTTGATGCATAAGTGAAATAATCTGTTAGTGGATTTAATCATTATTATTAAAGAACTGTTGACTTAAGACAAACATCTATATCTTGCTCAAAAGTTTATTTTAAACTAAGTTATTTTCACTAAAAATATTTGGTGAGATTTTGTGTTTTTGCTGAACTTTTAGGATGAACTGCAGTTTGTTCCAGATTTATGGAGCATAGAAGCTGAAGCTTCTCCATGTTTGGTTCTGGTTCTGTTCAGTGATTATAAACTAGCTACAGCATTTTAAAGTCTCTTCATTCCTATTTTAACATTAAATGAATATTAATCAACCTTTTGTCCAGTTTTTCCTGGAGCGGCTGCCCCGGATCCTCCACATGTCCCACCCGGCGGACGACGAGCCGCCGTGGGACGGAGCGTTGCCACGGCGATCCAGCTCGGTGGGATACATCGCTGCAGCGGAGGAATATTACAGCATCAAGTCCCGCAGCGAGCTGATGTTTGAGAGGCAGTCAGAGAGACACGGGCTGTCCAAACGGCCCACGCCCGCCTCAGGTAGGCCAGACAGAACCAGAACCAGAACCAGAACCGTGAGGTCGGTCAGCACCGACAGGCTGTGTGTGTTCAGTGTTGAAGCCGGTGGAAAGCGACGGAGCGATGGATCAGCTGTACGGAGAGATCAAGCCGGCGGTGGACGGAGCGAACTACATCGTCCAACACATGCACAACAAGAACGACTACAACGAGGTGAGAGGAGACGGACGTCTGAGGAAACAACTACTCAAAACTTCAACACTGATGAAGAACTTTATTCAACTGAAAGCTACAAAACAGCCGAGAAAATTAGAGCTTCAGGATTTATCTGGAAAAACATTTTCAAAGTTATCAAAAATACTAGAAATTTGTATAAACATTAGTTTAGCTGTTAGCGCGTTAGCACCACTGCCTGGAGCTTCTTTTCCTGAAACTTGTTTTTTATTTATTTAGGGTTATTTTTGAGTTAATTTCCCATTTTGGCCCTAAACGGGTCTGTTTAGGTAGGTCAGGTTTCCGTCTCCTCCTAGAGCTGAGGTGATCTAGGATCATAGATCTATGTCCGCCGCAGCAGTAGAGTCTAGATCCAGATGTTCTGTGTTTGCAGGAGAAGGACAACTGGAGCGGCATCGCCCGCACGGTGGACCGGCTCTGCCTCTTCCTCATCACCCCGGTGATGACCTTCGGCACCGTCATCATCTTCCTCATGGGGATCTGTAACCACCCGCCCCGCCTGCCCTTCCAGGGAGACCCTCACGACTACAGCGAGGACAACCCGCGCCTGCTGTGACCCGACCCGACACCCGGTTCCGGTTTCACTCATTCTGAGTTTCTGAGGTTGAAGTGAATATTTTATATCTGGTTTCTGTACTTTGAGTTCAGTTTGTGTCTCCAAAACATCAGTTTTATTTAAATTACCTAGAAATAATGCACAGCAAGATCAGTTTTATTTTTTAATGAATGCCATCATTTACTTTTGCATTCACCAAACAGAACAATATAAATGGCATTTTATTATTTATGTAAAAAAAGATTATTTTAGAAAATTGAGAAAAAGTTTTTTTGACAGACAAAAAAATTGTTTCTGATAAAGTTTTATGTTTTATTTCCTGAATTTTCAACTTCTTAAATGCCAGCTATAATTAATGAAGTTGTTTTTTGTTTTCAATAATAATAATAAAAAACTTCAAAAGTCTTGAAGTGTTAAAAAATCCAAACAGATCAAAAAAGTGCTGCTGATTTTCTCTGTTTGCCTTAAAAATCACATGAAATCCTAAATAAAAACAAAAATCTGATTATCACCCAAAATACTTCATTTGACTTCAGATGTTCTTCAGTTTCTATAAACAGATTCATAAATCAAAATGTTCAGGGAATCAGGTGGTTATTAATAATAATCACAATGAAATCACAGGGAAATTAAACTACTGCATGGTTTTTGCTTTAAATGTATAATATTCTATTTTATCCTTTATTTTGTAAAGAGCAATAAAACCAAATAAAAACATGAAGCCATTGTTTATTTTCTTGCTTTAATTTTCTAAACTGATTTTTCTTTATTTGGTTTGATTGATGATTAATAATAATCACTCAAAACTTCCAAAGGAAAATAAAACCACTGCATGTTTTGTGTTTTAAATGTGTAACAAAGTTCATTTCATCCTGTATTTTCTAAACAATAAAACCAGATTAAAGCATGAAGCCATATTTAGATTTTTTTATGGATTTTTCTTTTATTGTTTTGATTGAAAAGTTATAATCATGAGTTCATAAGTTTATTATATTAAATCTGAGAAAAGGAAAGATTTTTCACTGAAAACGAGGATCAGAGCTGTTGGAAACAGGAAACACAGTTAGTTAGTTAGTTAGTTAGTTAGTTAGTTAGTTAGTTAGTTAGTTAGTTAGTTAGTTAGTTAAAGGGCTAAAACTTCTGATTCCACATCTCAATGCAGAATAAAATATAATTATATTAAATCTAATAATAATAATTTTTCATGAGTTTCTCTAAAGTCAAACGATGCAGTGAATCAAACTGTAACTTTAATATTAACAGAGAAAATCTTTTGTTTTCTGTTTTAAATCAACTTGTAAATAAAAAGCAGTAAAAACAAAAAAACATTAAAATCTGATAAATTAATGTTTTAATAAATACGTAATAAGAACAAAACTATTAAATAAACATGTGCTACCAGGTAAAAGATATTTAAGGAAGAAATGTAAAAACAGAATATGCAGTAAAGATAAATAAACTAGGACTCACAAAAAGTTATATTGTAATAAAAGACAGACAAATTAGAAATATAAATTTCCATCTGATGAAAGTTAGCAATAAAGCTGAGCAGCAAATCCCTGAATATCTGTTAAATATATTAACAGTTCAGATGTGAAATAAAGTTACCAAGAAAACTCACAGTAACACGGTGCAAAGTAGAATCCAGTGCAAAAGTGAATCCAGTGCAAATCCACATCTGGTGCTAAAATAAATAAGGTGCATAAGAAAAGTGAAAGATGCTCTAAAGTGAGTCAGGTGTCCTCACAGTGACTACAGTGGCAGAAATAAAGTTAAATAAAGTTGGTAAACAACATTAATGATCCTGAGAATATAAAATATAAAATCAGTAGAAACGAAAAACCTATTTATAAATCAGAATATTGTAATTTGTGTAAATGTTTGGAACAGGTTTGCTGTGAAGTTTCCTTTCACTGATCCTGGATGTGAATGTTACATTAATTTAGAGCTTTTATTGATTTATTTTACTTTCTTTTTGTTTTTGACTTTAACGTAGAAAAACCCAGATAGAAAGGCAACGTAGGGTTAGCTGCCTTGCCCAGAGGCACTCAGGCAAGGCGTGTTTAGGCAAACATTTTGATTGACTACAGCAGCAAGTGTCTCTTTGGCAGCATACAGAGGATTTGTTTGGCCACAATCAACACTCAGCGATGAAGAAGCCATCATTCCAGAAGCAACATAGAAAGTCAGATTGCAGTTTTTAAATTCCTCAGTTTGAGACGCCTCAGATGGTGGCAGTAAAATATGGAGCTGGTCCGCATGCTGAAACCTCCAACATCCTGGCATCTGGTCCTAACATCTGGTCCCTGGGGGCTCGTCCGGGATATATCACCCACTGGGTGCCAGGACAGGACAGGCTGTCCTCCAGGACGCCGCCGGCGGGGTTGAGCGGGAACAGGACATATGTTGGTGGAAGCTCAGAGACGGCCTCCTGCTGGGTTTTCCTGCAGCAACAACTGAAGGGAATTTAAAGAAGGTCACAAACAAGCGTGACTCAACGAGAGAGAAAACTTAACGTTGATTTGATCTGTTATTCTTACCAGAAAGGCTGACCGGGCTGCGGTCCTCTACTCTGTGTCCAAAACACATCAGAGTCATGATTATAATGTAAAAAAAAAAAACAACAATAATAAAAAGTAATGTTTTTGACTAACCTTTAAATACGTGCAGTACAGCAGAACTATCAGCCCAATAATTAAAAGAACAACAAACACCACAGCCAGGATGAGCAGGAGCATGAAGACATCTGGAGGAAACACAAAGTGAGACAAAGTGTCCCCTGTCTCCAGCTCCCATCAGGTCTTTATTCAACACTTTGGACAGGCGCTGCTCTGCGCAGCCTCAGTAGCCTCCTCCGGTCAGGGCGTCATTTGGGGAGAAATAATTAGAAACAGACGGTGATACTCACAGACTTCATCCATGGCGGCGGCGAATGATTCCACGTTAAACATTTTGCTGGCTGAGTTGTTCTGCTCCACCCGAACCAGACATCACAGTAGACGCCCCTCTGCCCGTTACGTCAGCGCGACCGCCATATTGTGAGTGGCAGTTTCTTCTAAATAACAATTACATGTATAATTAACTGATGAAAAAATCAAACAACTTTTTTTTTGTTTTATTGTGAAACAGAAGAGCTGCTAAAGTCTCACAGTGAGGGAACAGAAACAGCTGGACCTAAACCCGCCTCCATGAGGCTCCCACCGCTTTTTAAACGCGTTTCCATCATACTGCCACTCACAATATGGCGGCACCGCCGCTCCTGCTTCGCCAACTCATCCTGCGTATGTATGAGTTCAGCTTCTTATGTACTGCAATAAAAAACACCATAAATCACGAGGAAACAGCGCCATCTGCCGTGGACGTCATGTCATGTCGGATTAATTATTCCGGACTTTTCTGGCTGTATTTAATTCCACATATGAAAACAATATCCTGTATTATCCAGATGTTTGGACTTTAATGATTATATAAAGAAACCACAGAAAACATCGAGTACTACAACAAAAGACCAAAAACCTTCTATTGTCCCATTTTAATGAATATTATTGAACATTTCCATCTATAGGCAAAACATCATAAATATACAACTGAATGAGAAATGCATAAAACATCCATACAATCCATACATAATTCAATATTATCAATGACTATTTTAGTTTTCCAAAGAGCAGAGAGCTGTTGGGTAGAAATAATTCACTGATCCTGCTGAGTCAGTAAAAAGCCACATGAACTCAGCAGCAGTTTGGTTTATTCTAATGTCTTTAAAACCGACAGACAATTTCTGGTTTGGCAACATTTGAGTAAATGTTGCTATTCTCAGGAAACATCAGCAAACAAAGTGAGTAAAAATATATTTTATAAAACTACAAAAACTCATGAAGAACATTGAACATATTTCTGTTTGCATTTAGAAACAGATTAAAGCCGCACAAATACAAACGTTATCGTTAATATGGTGACATCATAGTTTAACAACAGAAAGTTTTAGTTTCATGGTAACATTGAATTAGTGCAAAGAAAACCTTTAGGAAAGTTGGAGAGCAGCTCTAAGGTCACTGCAGATAAATAAAATAAAATCACACCGGAGTAAATTTCTGTGATCAAACTTCTGAGCAAAACTCAGAAGTTTTAAAACTAAATTCATATTTTTTATTAAGAAAAGGAAAATAACAGTTGTTCATGACTAAAGGCAAAAATAAAATTCAGCTCTTTTGATGGTGTTTTAACTGAAGCGGTTTAGTTCAGTTTGATGAAGCCGTTCTGCAGAGAAGCTTCTTCTTCTGTGGTGACGCTTCGCTTTTAAACTGCTGTGTGAACCTATCAGAGTAAAACAGGATGTTACAGATGTTAGTCCAGCAGAAACCTCCTGATGCTGCTGATTTTATTCCTGTGATCAAATATTATTTAAGGATTTAGAATTTTCCACAAATTTGCTGTAAGTTTCAGATTTTTGGTGAAACTGTGACTAGAACAGACCAGAAGGTTGAACTCTGACCTCATGTCGTCTGCTGGCATTTTGCAGCGTCTCCATCTGGAGGTTCTGGTGGTTCTGGATCAGACACATGTGGGTCAGAACAGGAAGCAGCGACTCCAACCAGCAGCTGAAATGTGAATGTTTCTCACCTTTTTATAGACCATCAGGGAGGCTATGAGCAGCGCAGCTAACAGGATGATTGTCAGCAGACAGGAGACGATTACTGTGACCCCGCTGTGACCTCCTGAAACACAAACAGTCTAAACAGTCTCAGTGTCCATAGGCAATTTTAAATCTAAGCTTATTGACATTATTTGTGGAGTTCCCCAAGGTTCCATCTTGGGGCCACTTTTCTTTAATATTTACATGATTCCACTACTTCAAATTATACAACAAAATAATATAGATGATCATAATTATGCAGATGACACACAGTTATATATTAGTCTATCGCCAGGGGACTACAGTTAGGTACATATACTTACTAAATGCATCGAGCAGATTAATGTCTGGATGTGCCAAAATTTCCTCCAATTAAATATAAACAAAACTGAAGTGCTAGTGTTTGGACCAAAAGAGCATAGATTACAAATGATCACCCACCTTCAATCGATTGGCTTAAAATGTTCTGATAAAGCCAAAAATTTGGGAGTGATGATGGATCCAGATTTAAACTTTGACAGCCACATCAAATCTTTCATAAAAACTGCATATTATCATTTAAAAAATATTTCCAAAATTAGATGATTGATGTCCCTACAAGATTCTGAAAAACTAATTCATGCCTTTGTCTTTAGCAGGCTCGATTACTGTAATGCCATTTTTACTGGATTATCAAAAAAAGCAATAAAACAGCTGCAGCTTCTTCAGAATGCAGCTGCAAGAGTCCTGACTAATACAAAAAGGGATCAACATATCAGTCCAGTTCTGAGATCGTTGAACTGGCTCCCAGTTGCTAAAAGAATAGAATTTAAAATCTCTTTATTGGTGTATAAAACTCTACATAACAAAACCCCAGATTATATTACGGATCTTCTTCAGCCCTACATACCTCCCAGACCTTTAAGATCAACTGAGTCAAACCTATTAGTCATTCCGAGAGTCAGAACAAAATACGGGGAAGCAGCTTTTAGTTTTTATGCTCCAGCCCTCTGGAATAAGCTTCCGGCTCACTGCAAGTCTGCCCCAACTTTGAGTTTATTTAAAACAAGGTTAAAAACATTTCTATTTGAAGTTGCCTATTCTTGAATTTTTTTTATTTTGTTACTTGTCTGATTGGTATTGTTTCTCTGTAAAAGCACTTTGAATTGTCTTTGACTGAAAGGTGCTATATAAATAAAATTGCCTTGCCTTGCCTTAAACAAACTGGCAGCATCTTTAAAACACAGCGAGGAGAGAAAACACCTGCAGAACCTCCAACTCCTCTGGGAAAACCGGGATTAGGAGGATATTCATGGGAATATTGAAGCATTCTTGAGGTCAGACACTGATGTTGGACGAGAAGGCCGAGCGAGGCCAGCGGCCAGATCAGGTAACTTCTGCCTCTCCAAATAAACTGATTCTGATTTGTTGCTGAAATCTGATTTTTTTTCTCCATGATTGTTGAAGCTACCAATCAAATCAGCAACGGTTTACGACCCAAAGCGATCCACAGAAGAACGCTGACGCCACAGAGCAGCGCTCTGTTCATGTAAGGAGACGTTTATGGATTGTTTTTAAAGTTTGACAACAGATCAAGAAGGAAGCTGATCAGAGGAAGGTTAACAGCATCGGCCTTCAGCTGCAGCTCCTGTAGAGACTGACTGGATGTGGAGTCAGAAAGAAGAGCAGTGGTGATGCCTTCACTGACTCAGACTGCTTCAGAATTTCATAATTATAATTTTCAGATATTGTTTACATCCTGATTTATGACCCGTGTTTCACATTACTGATGTAAAAGTCTGACAAAATGTGATATGATGGTTCAGACTGCAGACGGTTTGAAACGATTAGATTCAGCTCTGCATATGGAAGCGGTGAAACGGTCGCATCCTCCATGAACGTAGCCTAAATCTGGGACAGGAAGGAGCCGTCTCCATGGCGCCGCAGCTCAGTTCGCAGTGAATTTATCCAAAATGTGGAACAACTCCTACAGAACAGCCCCACAGCAAGATCTTCCCTCCACCAAACTTTCCACTTTGACACCCATCCAACCCAGACTGCTCTGTCAGATCACCAGACCCAGAGGCGTGATTCGTCCTTCCAGAGAACTTTCCTCCACCGCAGTAGAGCCCAGAGGTGGCTGTTTGCACCAGCAGAAGCATTTTTACTCACCTTCACCTGTTCAGGTAAATCTGCCTGAGACACAAAGCGTCTGACCTGTTTTAGACATCAGAGTGTCAGAGACTGCAGGCACAAGCATCCAGACAACAAATTAGATAACAATGATAGAAAATGTTAAACTGTTTTATTTTCTTCACAGTTTAGGACAGGCGTGTCCAAACTGCGGTCCAGGGGCCATGTGTGGCCCTTGGGAGGAGTTTTTTTAGTTAAAGAAACATTAGTTTTCAAAACCTGACATAAATTATTCTTTTCTATTTCACTTCATGAACATATTCCATGACTAAATCACAAAAATGATTAATTTATAATAAAATTATGTAGCATTTTAATTATTGATTTTGTCCACAGTGCAGAAGGTTTGGACTTCCTGGTTTAGGAGTTTTATTTCTCATCAGATGAAACAAAAACATAAAAATGAAGCTGATTCATGATTTTCTCCTCTTTCATCTTGAACCTGAATAAGTTTCTGGTTTTGATCTGACCTTCCTGTGTTTTCAGCAGGATGTTGGTGATGAGCGTCTGCTCTTCATCGCTGAGCTCACAGCTGTAAACTCCGTCCTGATTGGAGGACAGGCCGCGCAGCGCGAGGCTGCCGGACGCCGAGACGCCCTCCACCCGTTTCCTCCACCCGTCTGAAGCCGTGAAGGCGGAGCCGGCTGCCTGGGTGTCGATGACCTGGCTGTGGTTGAACCTCCAGCTGACAGAGAAGTTCTGGAGGGAGGAGTTTGGAGCCGAGCAGGGGATCGTTGAAACGCCGCCCCGAACACTGGCAGCTGGAGTCGGACAGGAAAAACACACTGAAAGGCACAGGAAATATCTGAAAAGTGTGGCGTGCATTTATGTTCAGCCTCATTGAGTGAATATTTCATAGAACCACCTCTACCAGGTTTACATGTTTCTGCTCAGACTTCTTACTAAAACAGCTCAAATCCAGTCGGATCAGAGAGAAACTGCATGGAAATCTAATTTCAAGTCCTGCTGCAGAATCAGAAGGCAGAGGAATGTTTTTCCAACCTTCTTCTTCTTCTTTGGGTGAAATTCTCATTTCTCTTGTTACAGCTTAAATTGATTATTAGTACAGAATGCCGTCCTGATGAATCTAAAGTCCAGAAAACGTAGAATCATGCAGTCTCCCTGCCAACCAAGCCCATCATCGCTGCCAGCTCAGCGTTTCCAGGCAGAGGAAGTCAGCAGTGAATCCTTCGCTTTCTGCTCATCCAGAAAATCCCATCACCGTTTCCCTGGAGTCGCTTTGCAGAGGCAGAAGCAGGAAAAACAAAATGTTCATTCTTTGCTGCTGCAGCCAGAAAAACCCAGCAGATCGGATCCGACACAGAGCAGAACTCAACCAGACTGGCTCAGCAAACTGACGTTTCAGGCTCACATTGATGTTTTTATTAGTGATGCATTGTGCGAAAGTGAAGCTCTCCAATCTCTGTCTCTGCTTTAAAGATAAACGGTTTTAGTTTCGCTGAAGAGAAGCTGGAAATCAGAGGAAACAGAAAGAAAAACACAAAATCTGACCAAGAATTTTATTATAGTTTCTACTGTAAATATTTTAGCAAACTTTAAATAAGACAAAACTAAATTACAATTAATAATTCAACAAGATATCAGAGCTTATTTAAAGTCGATAATTATTTCATTGTGATGAACAAGGTCTAGCTCTGCTCAACTAAAGTTTCTCAATCAGTGACTGATGTTTTTATGACTTTATTGATTCAAACACTTTGAACTTCTTTGTTCAAATGTGCTAGATTGATTGGCAAATTATTTCACTTAGCATTCAGCTTCTATGCAACACAAATCTGGAACAAACTTCCAGAAAACTGCAAAAGAGCTGAAACACTGAGCTCCTTGTTAGAGCTGCTTCAGACTAATAGTGAATGAAACATTAAGCAACATATTCAATGTGAGGAACTCATCTAATGTTTATTCACTTGTTGACTGTAAAACTTTGTAGCTTTGTGTTTTTATGGTATAAAGCACCTTGAACCATTTTGCTGCTGACATGTCATACAAATAAACTTGATTGATAATATTGGAAAAACTAAAATAATCTTCCAGTAGATCTAGTTCTTGTTTTTAGCAACATTAAGGAATTATTGTGTTAAATCAGGTACCTATAAATATCACTGAAAAGTTACTTGCATGTTAGTTTTTTTTTAGATATTTCATAAATATTTGGTAATATTTTGTGTTTTTGCAGAGTGAATTTTACTCACATAGTTCCCTGAACGTTGCTCTCCTCTGGTTCCTCCTGGTTCTGATGCTGCAGCTGTAGTTCAGATCTGGACCATCTGGACCCGTCAGAGAGCTGCTGATGTCATAAAGCTGATCTTCAGTTTTCTGGATCCTGGTTGTTTCATTCAGAGTCGTGTTGGATGGAGGCTCAGTGGACCAGGTGAGTTCAGGTTGAGGGTAGATCCCCTCTGAGCTGCAGGTGATCCTGTTTCCATCCTGATGGATCCTGATGTCAGAGACTGGAGCTGCAAACAGAA